GAGAGAGAGAGAGAGAGAGAGAGAGAGAGAGAGAGAGAGAGAGAGAGAAAGAGAGAGAGAAGTTCTCTGTAATGTACAAGCGATTTGTGAAATATGTCGGTCTCTTTTGCACTTATCGTCTCGCCTCGCGTACGAAAAACCGTGAAGAAGCCGCGGAATCAAGATTATTTAATTGCTTGCCGCAATCAGCTCATAGCTACGAATTATTCATAAACTTCGAATGAGGTGATAATTAATCACAAATTCGCATTCATAGGCTGTTACACGGCTCGTTGAAGCAATATTTCTCGTATGAAATAAATGCAGATTAGCGAATAATTAAAAATCCCCACAACTCTGATGTACACCAAACCTAAAACGAAAATAAAAGTAAGTTGAAAACAAAATAAAAAGACGCGTATCAGCCTGAAAGACTGCAGTCGCTCGGAGCTTCCGATTGAAAGCTTGACAAGTTCGCGACGTAGTCGGGACGAGCGCGCTGAAGCGACACGTGGTATAGCGATCGATTGATACGAACGGCGAATGAACGGCGATAAGCGACGGGCGACAAATGTTGACAGCACTTTGCCGATACTCAGCCCGTTGCCGAAACAAGCACGCAAAGTGACGCTAAGTGATTACGCCGCGCTGAGAAAGACAGAAGAGAAACCGTCGGTTATCAGAACAAAAACACCTTCGCTGTTTGATGATCGTTAGACTCGACCGAGCATTTGGCAGGTGCAAATAATTTTTCATCATTTGTCACTTGAACAAACATACACTGACCAAAATCATATTTGTTCTCTATTTAGGTTGGGGTTGGTTGTATCCTTAAAAATGTCGCTTAGAACAGCCAAATTTAGAAGATGTGCGAATCAAAGATTTTTAATATCGAATTGAATCGAATCTCAGATTTTGATTTCGAATTCGAATCGAATCGAATCGATGAAATTTCACCTGAATCGAATCGAATCGTTAAAAGAATTTTTAATTAACATAATCAGTGAATTCAACATGAAAATAGTGACTTCATTATGAGATAGATAATATTGATCATGTGGTATCAATTCATTTTAAGGTAAGAAATACATAATATATAGTCGGTAAACGTGTATGGAATATAGTTCCAGCCTTGAAAGCTGCGCAACGATGCATATTAATCCGATAGTTGTCGGTAAGAGTTTATCTAGAAGCCATTATCTTCTTTTAATATTTTTGAAGAAAATCTTAATGTACAGCAAACTTTCCAAATCATGCCAATTCCCGTAAGGTTGGACGTCTTTAATAGTTCTCCGTTAATGCTAATGTGCGCGATCCGTATTCGAATCATTTCAATTGGAAATTTTCGAATTATTCGGATTAGGATCATAGGGATTCGAATTTGAATCGAATAGAATTTTACTTGATTCGATTCGATTCGAATAGTTCGCACATCTCTAGCCAAATTGAAGGTAACAAATCATTTGTTCGCCCTATGGACTCATCTGCTGTCTCAATACGCGAAAGTTTCGACACAGATCAACACAGGTACAAAATGTTTTTTACCAGGGAAAACGGAAAATGTTGCGTGCTCTCCCGTAAGCGGAACGGAAGCCGCGAGCGTGAAAGACGAGAACGTTTCCGCCAACAATTCTAACGATTTCCTACGGTTATTTGTTTTTCTCCCGCAGTCGTGTACACTTACGATTATATTTATTAATATCGGATATTACTCGTTGACGTGACACATCTAGTCGAGTGTTAGCAAGAAGAGCTATCCTTCATTCGATTTGTCGCCACTGCGTTCGTCGATAGTGACACAGGTCTAAATCGAGCGAAGAAGGTATGAAGCGACCGACCTCGTTCGATTACAGCGGAAACGTTTATTTCACCTCGAGTAGAAAGGCGTCCGTTTCGAGCCGCGGCCCGATCCGATTAGCGCAGCGCGGCTATATGTGAAGCCCTACGCAAAAATATATAGAACTTCTCTCTTTGATATGTCGTGCGGTGAGGAAATGCTTCAGTCGCGATACGCGGGCGAGCGAGATGTGCGAGCGGGGCTCGGTCAGGGCGAGAGTAGCCTTACTAGAGGGTGAATACTTTGCTGCGTGTCGCCGAGACGCGACTCTTCTTTCCTTCTTTTCGCTAAGCGGATGCTGAAGTGGACGAAAAATGAACGCAGAGACGACTGTCACTGCAACACGGTCATGCTATCCTTTTCGTATTTCTTGTACATACAGAACTTACTTTCTGTACATACAGAACGGGCGTTAATCCTCCAATTTTCTCTGGTGGCTCATGAGCTCGGCGAATGAATAGTAAAGAGGAATCGCTCAGTAAAACTGTATCTTTTTCGCAGGAAGGAAAATGGCACCGGTTTTGGGCGTACCGCCTCCGCCACCGCCGGCTCCTCACATGGGACCAGACGGCTTGATTTTGCCGAAGAAACCGTATAACCCTTGCCTTACCTCTACTAATCATAAGGACCTCCACAGAGAGCTGCTCTTCAATCAGAAAATGTAAGTCCGTTTCAACAACGCCGACGATTCTCCCCCTGATATCCGTCGCGGTGATCCCCTCAATTTTCCAGTGTCTTCACTTCGATGAAGAGCGTTCCCCGCTTGAGTGGATAGCTTGTCTTGTCCCGCCCGGCCGGGAAGAGATACCGGGAAATCCGCTCTTCTCCACCCCTTCCTCTTTCGCCCTAAAGTAAATATTTTACCGCTCCGCTCGGCCGCGCGCTCACCTGAGATTAAATATAGGATTAATTAATATCGCGGGCGCGGGAGATTATATTCGCGATGAAGATGGAAAGCTACTATGCTACCCGCGTGGAAAACTTCCTGATGAAAGTTGGTCGGCGGCCATAACCGGTGATAGCACGTTTTCATTGTGTACGCGTGGGAATCCGTGCGTAATCGAGCACGAGATCGGTATCGCGGATTGTACGAACAAAGTATCGCTTGCGAAAAACACTGAGAAGAGTTTTGTTAATTTAACGAAATACCATTAGCCAATTTTAAACTCCTAAATTCAAACGTGGAGGTACAGCAATGTTCTGTGAAATTTTTCTGAGCGAAGCAAACTCGATTTCAGTACATACAAGCCACAAATTTTTATCAGGCGAATATTTGCTTCAATTAACAGCGTCTGACAAGCTCGAAAATTTACACTCGAAATGTTGATTTTGAAATTTTTTATCGTTTTTCTCATATATTGAAGCAATGCTTCAATTCGTTCTCGCATGTATTTCTATCGTGTAAGAGCATTTGTAATTCTGTGCGGCCAATACAACGTAAAAGCTTTGCAGAAAGTGTCAGTGTTCAGTTGGTAAAGATTTCTCAGTCGACAAACATTTCAACTTCATCCCCTTAATGATGTCTTTAACTTCAATAATACATCTTTAAGACGTCTTTGAACATCATCTTGCTACCTGAGCGAGAGGATTTTCTCAGTGAACGTCCGTGCATACATCTCGTGCGAAGGTACGATATTTTCGGGACACGGTCGATCAAGATAAGATTCCGACACACCTGTACGCAGTTTTCATCGTTACACTTCGAATCACGCGGCCGCCGCGCATTACTCCGGGCACCTGCAATTCTTCACGCTTCGATGGAATTAAACGGCTCACGCTTGCCGACTTTTACCTTGGCACACACGCAATATCCAATTCGGCACGTTTCCACGTGCGAGGCGAAACACCGCGGTGTATGCATTCTTGAATTCGACTTGTATCGACTTCTTATTCGCCCGCGATCTGCACAAGTTTTTCGCTCATTCTGCTCTTCAGATTTAGAAATTTGGCATTAAAAGCATCAATTTCCGGACACGTACCTGAATCTGGGCATTCTATTGTTTTGGTCTTTAAATACGAATATTTAAACTTTCAAAACACAGAATGTATACAATTTATCAGAGCAATATTGGCTACAAATTGGGTTTTAATATACCCAATACTGACCTAGTATTGCAACCCAGACAGCACAAATGTCCAAAAATCGAGTCATAAGACGTCTTTAGGACGTATTTAAGACATCTTTAAGACAATACCTTATAAACTTATCTTAAAGATATCTTAAAGATGTTTTAAAGACGTTTTATGACCCGACTTTGGACATTGTGCTGTCTAGGAAAGTAGATACCATACATTTTATAGCTAATATAGAATTCCGAATATTAGCAATCCATTTAATACCAATACTGGGTTACATATTGGGTTATATTCGCCCAATGTATGTCAGTATAATCATGTTGAATAATATTGGCAATTTATCCGAGTGTATGAAGTTGGCACCCCACTTTTTGAAATTTATAATTTTGAAAGTTGTTCCAGATTGTTCTGACTTTGTACCACATTATTCCAAAGTGATATTGCTTCATTCGAAACGGTTTTCGAATAAAACAAAAAAAAATGATTTTTTGAGCTGGCACCCCACTTTTCGAAAATCGAACATTCTGATACCGCAATAGATTGTTCTAGTTGTTGTCAAACATTGTTACAAAAGGACAAATCCGTAAGTTGAATTATAAGTCCAAAAAATGAAAAAAATGTTTTTGACCTGACACCCCATTTTTTGAAAATAAAGTGTTTTCTCTTGACGTCGGTTGCTGTCAAATCGATTTTTTTTCGAATTTTCGGAGAATGGATGCCGCTACGAGTCTCATACTCTAAAACTATAATTCTTAAGCCTAGCACAACTCAGAACAAAAAGATCTCGGTTGGAACAAGAAAGGAAGCATGTGTTTACTCTTGACGTCGAGTACTGTCAAATCGATTTTTTTACGAATTTTCGGAGAACGAATGATCTTATGAGTCTCATACTCTAGAACTATAATTCTTAAGCCTAAAACAACTCAGAACAAAAAAATCTCGGTTGTAACAAGAAAGATAGTATAAGTTTACTCTTGGTCCGATAGACTGTCAAAAAACTTTTTTTTAATTTTTCGGGCTTATAATTAAATTTATTGATTTGTGCTTTTGGAACAATGTTTGGAACAACTAGAACAATCTATATCGGTATCGGAATGCTTTATTTTCAAAAAATGGGGTGCCAGGTCAAAAATATTTTTTTCATTTTTTGGACTTATAATTCAACTTACGGATTTGTCCTTTTGTAACAATGTTTGACAACAACTAGAACAATCTATTGCGGTATCAGAATGTTCGATTTTCGAAAAGTGGGGTGCCAGCTCAAAAAATCATTTTTTTTTTTTTATTCGAAAACCGTTTCGAATGAAGCAATATCACTTTGGAACAATATGGTACAAAGTCAGAACAATCTAGAACAACTTTCAAAATTATAAATTTCAAAAAGTGGGGTGCCAATTTTATACACTCAATTTATCCATATTTTATTTATTAACTATACATTGACTATATTGGTTTAATGTATTCCAATATAACCAATATTGGATCAATATAACGCCATTGAACTGTGCTATTAGGATATACATATACTCGATATTTATATATATATTTTATATTAAAAGTTTAAATATTTATATTTGGAAACCAATACAATAAGAATGTCCAAGATTAGGTCCGGGCATTGGTATTTTCATCTTAACTTCTTCGAAATTTACCAAAGAGCACTTCGTTTTCCCGCAGTGGCAGGAACGTCTTGAACCAGAAGAGCGAGTTGCAACGCGCCCTGGAGAAGCAGAGGGAGGCTGCGTCGAGGAGAGAGGCCGAGAGGAACCGAGAGGAAAGCTACAAGGACGACCCCAGGACAGCCTTGCAAAGGGCGATCGAGCAGAGAGCGAGACACATTCAAATAACGGTATAGAGCCGGCCGTAACGTGCAATTTCGAGTTTCGCGCTCCGTTAGTTCGCGCTCGCGACGCCCACTTCTCCATCTTCCGCATACTCGGCAAGCGAATAATAGATTCGCGATGATACGTTATTTAGAGATCAGACGCAAGTGCAATTGTTTGTTCGCAGCAGGAGCAGTCGCAGATGAGGACAGAACCGAGCAACCTGCTGATAACAGCAAGAGCGAAGCTGAGACCTCGCACTGAGTCCCAGTGAAGAACCAATAGGAGAAGAAAGAAGAAGGAGAAGAGATCGGCGATCGCGAGCCGCGCCCCGTTCTCGAGAGTCGATCGTGGATTCCACACTCGGCGCCTTATCGCTCGCAAGCGTGTATATATACATAACCCGATAAGATTTTGACTAACAATCCGCGCAACATTTGCTCGAAACGCTCCTCTTCGATCTCTCTTTTGTTCGCCGGCGGTTCTCGCTGCTCTTTGAGAATCACTCGCGATCATTCTCAGCCCGGTTGGACAATGCAAACTCTACATTTAAAACTTGTATCGGACTAGATATTGGAAATTGAGGATTGTGAAATGAAGATTGGAATTTGTTGATTTGTCGAATTCTGACGCATACTTTACAGTCATTAATTACCAACACCCAATTCAATATGAGCTTCGGAGGATCGATGGGGAGTCTTCTCGCGTGAAACACAGGAGGGTAGCTCAGCACATTGCGACATCCGTTCGCGATTGCGTGTCCGCGCGCTTCTAGACAAGTTCGTACGTGCCTGAGCGAATTCGCGACAACGAATAGTCGCTTTCTCTTCCTTTCCCTTTCGGAAGTCACGAACGGTGTCTTCCACCATCTTCAAATCGGGTCCCGAAATGTGTATCTTGCACGAAGCTTCATTCGAACGATCGATGGTAGTACACTTCGCACTCCTGGACACTGCTCCAAGGATGAACAGCTAAAGGTCTCGCTAAATGATGCAACCAACCGCGAAGGTACGTGCGATGCTTGCCGTTAACCCTTAAATCGAAACATGTGAAAAGTGCTCGGTCGAGAACGTGTGAGACCCCTGTAACCGTGTTATTTTCCAAAATACACGACATAATGATAATTTCAATAGTTACAATTTATAGACGTGACTAAGTGGACACTTATAAGTGGATACTTATTGCGCGAACTTTGAGTTACGAATTATCACTGGACGCTGAGCGTTTCGGCTTAAGGGTTGAAGCTCTTGATTCGTCGCGGTAAGCTTGACGACGTCGTTGGGCCAAAATGCAGCTGCAATCGACGGATCGGGAGCCTTGTGAACGCTATTTATTTCGTCCCAGAACTGTTCTCGGACGAGGAGCGGTACGCGCGAATTGAATGCCGAAATTATATTGTAGATTATTATAGTTATAACTATATGTATAATTATGTATATAACTATATATACATTTATATATATATATATATATATATATATATATATATATATATATATATATAAAATATATATATACATAACTATAATAATCTATATGACATATAGATTATTATTACATAGAAAGAAACGATGGAAGTAGTTCTCGCTAGAAGACAAAAGACAGAGATAAGTCAGCATTCCGGGACCATGTGTTCGTTCGTACATATTCCGTTACATGGCGTCGAGGAAACTTTGAGATGCTCACGTGATGACAGCTATTGTGAAAGGAACACGCTTAAAGTTCGCAACGAACTAAGTTTTGGACATTGAGTCATGATTGAAGATTGGAGCTTGATAAAGAGAGTCGAGACGAAAATTGACTCGTCGAATTTTAATTTCTAATTTACGGTCCTTAGTCTCCAATAGTTAAGGTCGATTTTTCCAGTCTCTTATTAGTGAGCTAATTAATAGTTAAGCGACGCCTATTTTTGTTTTTCCTTCAAATTAGACAAAGATATGATTAAACTGTTAGCTTACTAAGAGGTTAGAAAAATTGGGCCTTAGTCTAATGCTGCTTTGGAGATATTGAATCGGTGTTAATATTGTTTTACGGTCCACTATCATGTTGAGTGACAACGTACAAGCACGTCACGTTCGGTTTCGCACTCCTAAATCTAAAATAACGCTAACCATTCAGTATGTCATGTCTTTAATTATCGACCAATTCACGAGAATCTTATTACAACATACAAGTCGTGCGGAAATGTTTAAGAGGAGCCGCGCACCTAATCCATCTGACAGAGAAGCCACAAAATGGAGAATACTTTCTTTTTTTTTTCGTTTTTGTACAGTCGCATGTGTATGTTAGATTATAGTTTCTTTTTTATTTGTTTTAACATAGATCTAAAGTCACGATTACTCGGATCATCCCAAGATCGTCACAATGATTACACAACTCGAGTTCCAAATATATTTTATTCAACATCGATTTGTGTTATTCCCCATTATTCCCATTAACGCGTAAAAAACCCCTGACGAAATGCATAAAGAAACACCACGGCAAACACAACGATAAATACAAACTGCCGGAAACTTTCCTCTTAAATTACGTACATCAAATTATATAAATCACGTACAAATGTGAACAGAAATAAGAGAAATGCACAGAACGTAGTTTTCTTCGCAAGTCCCACGTCGCACGCAAGAAGTACTTGTTAACGAAAATATCAGAAACGGAACTGAGATCGATTTCACTTTTGTGCAATTTCTTAATTTTGCAAAGTTAAGTACTAATCGCGTGCTCTAATGCTAAAATTAAGAAATTTTCAAGTACAATTGATCGGTCCAGCTTCTGAGAGACTAACTGCAATTTATCAGTCGCATTTAGAACTCGCTAGAAACCGTAATCAGAGTCTGTGGTCATCTTCGATTGTTTATTGTGTGGTTCAACGTGAAATTCTTCACTGTTCCAGATCAATACAGATTGTACGATTCGGTTTTGCATCCGAAACGGCGTACAGAATTTGATCAGGTCTCTAGTGCTCACGCAACACTGAATTAGAAAAGCAAAATTACAGACAGTGTGTTTAGACACGTATGGAAATACACGATATTGCTAAAATATTGTAAATGGTTATTATTCACACACTGTCGTTACGAGTCGCAGACGCGCCGCCATTGGATTGGACGACAACGCTGTTACTTCGACAATGATGTTACATCGAGAACAGGCTGAGAGATACATCCTTGACATTCGATAATAATGATTGCAATGTAAAATAACGATCATTTAATAATCGTCTCCGCGGGAGATAACTTCTTTACACGTGGGACGTAAGACGAGGGTGTGCTCGAATTGAGCGGTGTAGCAGCCCTTAACATCCACCAAGGGTGGATAAGCTTCCACGGCGCCCTTCTCGCACAGGTCCTTCAACGCCATTTGGTACTTGGTGCAACCAACACGGTCTAGCCAGCGTTTGCAGAAGGCCAGAGTACCTGAAGACACGAATACTCATTGTTCAATATACGTCGATTTTTTAATTCCTTAATAATTAATAAAGTATGTATAAAATATATACGCATGAAATATATATATATATATATATATATATATATATATATATATATATATATATCGATAGAGTTCTTTGAGCACTCACCAAAGTGTTTGTTGATGGTATTGAGGAGAGACTTGCTGCTCTGCAATCTCAATGGCACGAAACCGGCGTCGAAGCTTTTCATGTAATGCGAGCACTCCATGTCGTCGTGCACCACACCTCTACCGGTAGACCCAAAGGTTTCGATCGCGTAGAACTCGTTCTCTTCCATTCTGGTCGCCTCGCCGCCTTTGACAATCGGCACAGTTTTTCCGGCATGTATGCGGTAAGGCGCGATAGAGTGACCGTTCAAATTTCTGATAGATTTCACCTGCGAAAAAGAATTTTGATAATTTTAGAATAGTTCATGCACCTTCATCATATAAAGTTAATAATAAAAATTCATAATAAAAACTAACAATGAGAACAATTTAACAAATGATAAAAACAATCGACGTCATACAAAAGATTCCCGCTAATCTAAATATTTTCTTCAAATTTTCGGATAACATAATCGCTAAGATGAAACTATACATGTGTGTGCATTCTCTGTCAGGTTTATATTTTCATACCGGGTACGTTCTGCCGTCCAATTCCACCTCATAGGACTCCATGACTTCTTGAATAGCGGCACCGACGTCGCACAACTGCACATCGATCCCGGCAGCCTTGATGCCCGTGTTCGTGGCGTCGCGGACTGCTTCGATTAACTTGTCGTACTTCGGATTGAACGTCAAAGTGAACGCACAGTCGATGATGCGGCCGTTGATGTGCGTGCCGAAGTCGATTTTCGTGACATCATCATATTCCAGAACAGTCGGGTCGCCGGCGTTCGGAGTGTAATGAGCCGCACAATGATTTCGAGAGCAACCGGTCGGGAACGCCAATCCAGCCTTCAGACCATCCTCTCCTATCAGTTTCCTGGCGGTCTCCTCTAATTCGTTGCATATCTCTATCATGGTCATCCCCGGCTTCACCTGCAAATTTTCATCGGAGATGTATCAATCATTATATTTAATAAGATTTCTAATTAATTAAACTAAACACATGAATAAGTATGAATAATAGCTAAACACATGAATATAAATTAATGTTTTGCCATAACACTGATGTGTTACATACCCATTTCATGATATGCTTTCTGGTTTGCCGATGCGCCTCGGCCGCCTGCCTGGCCTCGTTATAGATGTCATTGTGCATTCTGTCAAGGGCACGGGCTTCCTCGCTCGTGAAACGATCTTTCGCGGTTCTGTCGTCCACCCTGGTGACAGAGGGATAGTCCATTATTTGTCCTATGGGAAAGTTACCGTCCGAAAATAATTCCGACACAGGAACAGTCGGCGGATCCGTTTGCTGCTTCATACCGCCTTTGCCTCTAGGCTTGCGTTTCTTTTTCTTCTTCTTTATCTCCTCGTTCTCACCGTTCTCAGTCATCTCTGTGGTACCTTGCAAAAATAAGGTATAAATCAACCGATATCGATTTATAATTAATAACTCAATATTTTATCACTTATTTTATATTACTTTATTTTTAATTTTTATTCAAATAGCCTTGGTTATTTGCGAGTTGTTAAAGGAATTTTGTGTTTAGTTTGATGTGAAATTGAGAGAGAGAGGGAAGGAGAGAGAGAGCGAGAGGGGGGGAAAGAGAGAGAGAAAGTGTTCTACTTGCACAAAACAGTTGTATCATACATTGTCAGACACCCTTGTATGTAAACAACCTTTATTAGCAAGCAGCTAGGAGTGCGTTCAGATTCTCTACCCAGGTGCACTCTAATACTACAAGTATTATAGTATATGTGACATATACTATAGTGTTTCTAGTAATAGAGCGCATCCAGGTAGAGAATTTGAACCCATCCTAGAGTGGGAGAAATAAGGCCTATAAGAGCAATTTGTAAATATGTGAAATTAAATTTTATGAAACAAATTAAAAATCTTACAAGGAGGAAAAAGCCAAAATTATTAAATCTTATTAAATTTATACTATGAAAAAGAATAATATTGAGTAATATTGAATAATAATGTCAAGTGCATGTTTGATGTTAATTCAAAGCTTATAATAGGCTAGAGATAACGTTAGGTGCATTTGGCATTAACAATTATTATTCTTTCATGGTATAAATTTAATTTGGCACTAATATCCCACAATGGCTCTTATAGGCTTTATTGATTCCACTCTAGTTGTATACCAGCAGAGCTTGTTTACATATAATTTTAATTATAATCAATTTTATCTAAATATATAATTGTTATCATTAAAAATCTTAGATTTTAATTGTTAAACTGTAGTCTCAGTGTGTTCACAAAGATATATAAACAGGAAAGACTTTTAATGATACCTTCGGCAATTGTTTCTTCGTCTCTGACCTTATCCTCTTCTCCTTCTGGAACATCTGCACTGGCTTCTCCAGCACCTATATAAGAACATCTAATATTTCACATGTAAACAATAATAAGTTTTTTTCTTATTTAAGCTCCTTTTTCATGTACCCATAAAACTTTATGTAATAAAAACTTGAAAGACTGGCTTAGAAATACACAAGGAGAATTCTACATTTTATAAACAGCAAACATCTCTTTTTTATTTGCAAATCATATGTCGAGTATTTTTTGCTTGACATTTGTTCAGAATACAATGTTGGCTAATGTCGATATCGGTCTGGTTTAGCGGAAAAAACTGCTCCGCTATCGCTCTGTAGCGAACGTTTCTGATTGGTACGTCTATCCGGATCTCTCTCTGTCAAAGGTTTAAAATAATACTCCATTCCAACCATGAATATTCGCTACGGAACAGTAACGGAGCAGTTTTCTCCGCTGAACGTGATCATTGTCACAGTTACAAAACCGCGAATTTTCCACAGGCACGACAATTATCGTTCATAATATTACATTGAACGAAGCATCCAGATAAGAGAGTTCTCATTAGGCGCGAACGAGTTACTCCGGCTACCTCGTGAACGTATTGTAAGTGTAATTCGAAAAACGCGACAACGTGATCACATTGTCCTCGAACAGTCGAGATGGAAACGAGAAGACACGACTTCGATTTCCACGTACCGGCCTTCTTCTTCTTTTTCTTCTTCTTCTTCTTCTTCGAAGCCTCCGCTGCCCCGGTCTCGTCCTCTTCGTCGACGAGCACGTCCTTCTCCTCGTCCACGAGTTTCTCGGCGGATTTACCGACCTCGTCCAGCACGGCAGCCATTTTCTAGAGATGAGTCGAAGAGTTCGTTCTTATTTGCACTAGTACGATGCGATGCACTGAATCTTTTTTGAGCGTAGAATATGTGAGAGTTGGTAGATCCCATAACGCTACAGTAGCGCCACAGTAGTGTCATGGCGTAGAGTAAAGCCAACGGCACACGATGCCAGTTTTCGTGCTGGATCGAAATACTCTGTTTTGATTGGTGCATTTCTGAAGATGGATGGAAATGTACCAATCAAAACAGAGTGTTTCCATCCATCAAGCAAACCAGTACGAAAACCAGCATCGTGTACCGGTGGCTTAAATTCGGTGGGATCGATCATGAATCTTTTTCTCAAGCGTGAATTTCGTGAGAAATAAAAAGTTTTACGTGAACTTGCTCGAACAACACAAAATACTAAAAAATATTTAAAAGACGTCTAAAAGAAGTACGATTTTTTTTGTAATTTATGCTTTCTAGTCGTGATCATGCAACTAGGCGAAATGTCAACTTTTTACGTAAACTATTTCGCCAATTTGATATCTTAGTATTTTGTGCTGTCTGGGTGTTTACGTGGAACTTTTCACTTCTCACAAATTCACACGTGAGGAAAAGATTTATGATTAACATTCTGTTCTTCTTAGCAGAAAGTGCTGTATTGCGCAGTATCATTTCCATCTTTTGATTTTCAATGCTAGATTGTACACCTTAGGTTTACGGTTATTATTCTTTTAAACCAGATGCTTCTGAAAAAGTATATCTTGGAATTAAGAAATTTCATAATTAACTTTATTTGTGTATTCCACTGTGAAATATTCACTCATTTTAATTACGGTAGCAGCTATCACAAGCTACATATCATCACTTATGCATGAAACAAAGTTATACTAAATAACACTCCAATTATATTAAAATACATTATTGCTAGAACTGACACAGTATGTTTAATTTTATTATAGATATATTAAATACAAAAATAATTGTAATTAATTATATGGTAAACACATACATACACATTTAATTCTATACACATGCATAAACATCACACAAACATACAATAAACATATTTATGTCCTAATTATTCCCATCAGACGAAGTAATGTGGTTTCTTCACTATTATGCCGTACTCTGCTACTGCTGGAGTCAGATCCTCCATGGTCAAGGTATACCGCCGATCCTTTCCCTTTGTTTTTGAATTTTGATTAGCACCACGTGTTTTGCAATGCTGCAGGGCATCATTAGCGATCTCAGAGATAAACTTTTGAGCTGCTAAGGATACCAGACGTACTCTGGAAGATATGGCATGGTGAAAAGATGATGATAACAGTACATAATCACATTACTTGAAGAAATACTAAGTTTCCAATCATTAAGATTAGTAACATAGTACAAATAATGTCTTATACTCACATCCTGGGATCGGTGGTATTGAAACCAGCTGTGTGCAAATAATGTTCACTGATAGCATCAGGTACCTGTTATCAATATTATATGAAGTATAAAACAGTCCTGATATAACATTTGTAAAAATAACCTCAATGATACGCACCAGGTGTGCCACTGAGATAATGTCACAACTCGTGTGAGTGATTTCAACAAAACGAATTATTTAATAAATATGAAATACTCACTGTAGGTGTGTAATCTTCTAGTTGCAACAAAAAGTCTGACAAAGGCTCTCCGGCAGTTTTCGTGTCCTCGCTGAAGTCTGGTGGCGATTTTTTATCAGAATTCTCGGCCATTTTTTATGTAACGCAAAAACGAGGAATTATATTGACAATTTCTTGATTGAGAAATTGTAACTTCTAACGTAGTTACAACGTAACCTACAATTTTTGTGGGATATATTTTAGATTATTTCTGAAGACTAGAAAATTTCATCTACTAACGGATAATGATAATAGTCAAACAATGACATTACTCACTTGATCAGAAAATGGTGTTAGGAATAATGGGAGTAATGCTTTATTAAACGCTTGAAGCTAAATATTGCGAGTTTTCTATCTTTTCTTTCTTGATGAGTGTAGTAGGCCCGATCTACAATAGATGGAGTAAAGAGTAGGAGTAGGAGTAGGAGTAAGAAATAAGCAGTAAGCAAATTGGCCAATTCCATTCTTACGATTCAAGAATAATCGATTGTGATTGGTCCATTTAAGGGACGTCTACATTGGAAGTAAATAGCAAGAAGTAGGAAGTAAGAGTAAGAAATTGACCAACCACAGTCGAATGTGAGAAGAATAATCAATTATGATTGGTCAATTTCTTATTCTTACTTCCTACTTCTTACTTTTTACTTCCAATGTAGACGTCCCTTTAAGCCCATTCTGTTTTGATTGATGCATTTCCATCCATCTTCAGAAATACACTAATCAGAACAGAGTATTTCCATCCAGCAAGCAAGTAAGCTCGAAAATAAGTGCCGCTGGCTTCAGTCTCGATCCACAATAGGTGTAGTCAACTTTAAACTTTAAAAAATTGACCAATCACAGTCAAATTTGAAGAGAATAATCGACTGTGATTGGTTAATTTCTTAAGGTTTAAAGCTTATCTATTGTGGTTCAGGACTAAGGCTACTATGTTTTATTCTTAAACGTATCTAAAAAAACTGTCTAAGGCCGATATTCATAGTCCGATCTTAAATTTTAAGGTCATCTTAAGTACTGTCTTAAAATGTCATGAACCAATCACAGAGCCGTATTCGTATTTTAAGACATTATTTAAGACGATCTTGAAATAAGATTCGACTATGACTGCATTCCTAAATCGTTTTGACGCTGACTATACAATTGATGTCAGAAAGGTTTTTTGTCCGGTTTTTTTATGACTTTCAAAATATATTCGTCTTATTCGGATGCATTCGGAACATCACTCAAACGTATCCGCGTGTTAGAATGAGAAAGATACGAACGCTCCCTTCAACAGAAGAATTTGTTGGTCAATAAGAGAATTTTTCCATTGGACAAAACGGATGTGTTCCGAAAGTCATAAGAAGCCGAACTACCTCACCGACTGTACATACCAATCGAGCCTATTTTTTAAGTAGTACTACTCGATAATGTGTCAGCCTATTTATATTTTATTCGGAAAGATAGAAGAAATTTACTATGCTCGTATCCTCGACGAGAATGACGATAACGAGATAGTTCGGGGCTCATTTTGCAGTTTGGAATAATCTTCTTATCTTTGGTATCCCGAGAGTTTTCCACACTAAAAAGTTATTTGTTAAAAAAGCGTGGAAGTTGCGTGTCAAGGAAGATCAAGCTCCATTGATCCACATCCGACGATGTTCTCCATGCTCATCGTAATCATCCTCAACCGCGATTGCTATTCGCGTGCCGCAAATAGACCACGTGTGGTAGCCCCGACGACCACGTGACGGTAGCGCGCGAGCTCCTGGTGTGTCGCGGACGACACGTGTAGACCGGACGACGGGCAGAGTCAGGTCGGTTCGCGCTCGTTCCCTCTCTCGGCTGGGATCACGTGCCATCTGTCGTTACGACAGCGAGAGAGCGAGAGAGCGGCATGCGCTTATCAGGCCGCTGCTCTACTCTTACGGCAGTTCGAAGTGTACGCGCGCGAGCGCCGAGAGAGAGCCCTTGTGACCTTTCTCGCGTAGTCCGTGGTGACCTTAGTTTGAACCTGATCGTGAAACTGCGCGCTCCAGCCGGCCGGGTGTCTCCTCCGGCCAGTCTAGACACGAGCAGCAGCCAGTGCCGCGAACGCTCCGTCTTCTCCTCTTCTCCGTCGCGTTGCCAAGAGACATCGAAAACGGTGAGTGAAAACATCCGCGATCGAACGGCGAGGAGAGAGAACATGCTTTCTCTCTCTCTCTCTCTCCCTCTCATACTCTCTCTCTCTCTCTCGTCGAGACCGGAACGTGGAGAGGCGCTTGACCTTGCGAGCGTGACACGCGCCCAGAGAACAACTTCTTCGCTTTCTTCACGACATACCAGCTTGAATAACGTAATTAAAATAGATCGACACTGGTCGACGCGACCAGAGGGTCGAGGTAGGCAGATGGACGACGAGATGCATTTTTGGAACGGGACTGATCCGATTATGCAGATTGTCGAGTGTCCCGACGGTATCGGTGAATCGCGGGTTCTTCGGCTTGGATCCGGTATCGATCGACACGGCGACGATCCTCTGTTCGTAAGCGAGCATAAATCTGTATCCGACTCTAATATCCGTGTCTACCAACGTCCTTTAAACTCTCATCTAAGTTTCAATAATGTTTAAATTCAGATTAAGGTTTGATCGACTTTAATGGAAACGGAAAATCAGTCTTGGAATTGAAGATTGAAATTTGACTAATTAGCAGAAGGACAACCAAGTTCTAATCTCTTATCAGCAATATTCTGTGATAAAGACTTAAGACCCATATCACTAAGGATTATACATGGAAGATTGGACTTTGATCAATTAGAGGAGAAAGAAATTAGTTAAGTTGTCAGCTTCTAATTATTCTAATTTTTTATCAACAATCCTTTATTCTGTGATAAGTACTTAAATCAGACGAGTTACTGGAGACTGAGAATTGTAAGTTGAGAGTTGGAACTTGACCAATTAGGAGCGAAAGGAATTAGTTGAATTGTCAAATTCTAATTATTTAAATATTATCTATTCGCGAGATTAGTCTGATATGGATTTTACGTGATAGGGGATGTTATTGACCTTTGAATGAGAGATAAATCTATCGGTCACAATGTGCTTGCCTAGGATGACGATGACGAAAGCACGGCGCTCAATAATATACTGATAAAGTCGCCCCCTCCTTCGCACCTATTACTTAATACACTCGAATCCGATGTTCCGAGCACGTGGCCGCGAGAAATAACTTGTGTCTTTATTTCGCTGATTGTAGTATTCTTGTAGTAACGGCAATACGTTATCGCGCGTTTTCCGCTCACTTTGCAGAATGACTCGCGAGATTTGCATATGCAAATTGTGCGAGTATATTTGTAGAGCTCGCCGCGGAATTACACGGAACTCGATTTTGAGAATGAGTGATTCTCGGCGTGAGGGCGAATTGGTATGATAATTGTTTTAGAAGAACGAATATAATGACTGACGTAATTGGACTAAGATGATTGACATAATTATAGACAATCCGATCGCGGAGTGCTCGCGGAATAATCCGCTGATAACAGCGAGGCGTTAGGCGCCAGTTGGCGTAATTGAGTCTGTCCGATTGCTAAATGATGAATATGTAGATTACAGAGCAACGAAGAAAATGTCAAGGGAACGCGCCTCTAGACGATTTTACCGTATAGACAGCACCAATGATCTATTCGAATTCATGGACCGCGGCTACACCGCCCAGAATGAGAATCGATGGAACTTCGAAGTCGCCTGGGAGGCCGCCAACAAAGGTGCGATGTCGCATAGTTATACTGAGAGAAAAATACCGAAGAAAAATGAAATTTATTCGGTGGGTAGTGATAACGTGCTTACTTACTTACACTAATATGAAGTATTTTTTAAATAAAAAAATATACATTTCTCTCTTTAAAACCTCTTCTCACTCTAAATATTCTCCATTTCATTCTAACTTTATTCTTATAATTCTAAATTTAAATAAAAGAATTTAGATTTAAGTAAATACATTATTAGTACTTACCGAATAAATATTTCTTATTTTAGATATTTTTTATTCTTATATATAAATATAGATATCTACTCGAATATTTATATTCTACGTTAAATAAATCTAAAAGTTCTGTTTACATTCCACTGAATGGAACAAAATCAAATTTGATTTACAAGAGAACCTTGCTTCCCTGAAAATTCAGATCTTAATTAAACTTGGCACAAATATAGGATGAGTAAATAGATGAATTTAGAGAAATTTTCAGCTGGGATGGAAAATCAGTTTGAAAGGATGATACAAACCCTGTGAACACCAAATAACATCAATATTACCATTTTCCATTCAACAATATAACTGTTATATAATACACGTGTTATATAACATTTATATTATTATATTTATATTGTTGAATAGAAAATTGCATCACTGATGTTATATTACTGTTACTTACTGTTTACTGGTAAGATATAAAAGTTTTCGTTTTTTTTCAATATATGGCATAAACTAAATGAAGTAGCAAAAAAGTGTTTTATGCAAAAATTTTATAGAAAAAAATTATATTATAAATCCATAGATATACTATATCATACAGGAAATACAAAGGATAAAGTTCTAAAAATAACTTTTTCTCGAATAATGAACAGTGTAGTTTTTTTTTAAGTAGAGATGTCTTTTTATAAAGTTTTTGTATAAAACATTTTTTGATATTTAATTTAATTTATGATATATTGAAAAAAATGATATTTAAAGGGAATAGTTTTACTCTTTCAAACCATTTTTTCGTTTTCTAAATTTACCTATTTATCTAAGCTATATTTTTTATGCCAAGTTTCGTTAAGACCTGAATTTTCGGATTCGCGAGGTTTTCTTAGGCCTATTCTTTGTAGCTGCACTGCTGAACTAGTGCAATAAGTTAGAGTGAGAAAATGTATATTTGTCTCACTTCAATATATTGCACCAGTTCAGCAGTGCAGCTACAAAGAACAGGCTTCTTGTTAGAAATCGAATCGAACTTTTTGATTGCTCCACTTGACACTTTCCGACTACGCATCATCCTTATACTCGTTCAATCTATGATTTTTCTTCAGTTGGTGGAATCTATACAGTGATACGATCCAAAGCTTACGTCTCGACGGAAGAGATGGGCGATCAGTATTGTCTGATCGGCCCGTATAAGGAAACTTCGGCGCGCACCGAGGTTGAAGAGAGCGACTTCCTGCCGCACAATCCTCTCCATCAGACGGTGCAAAAAATGCGCGATCAAGGATACAAAGTGAGTCCCCCGCTCGAGTCTCATCGCTCGAGGGTCTTCGCGTTCGACCCATTTACCCTCGCAGCCAGTCATTCAAGAGGCTGCGAGTGTTAATCAATGACGTGTTCGGCAAACGCGGCCGCTCGCGGCGGTGACCAAGAGCGATGCTTTGGCCATCCGCCACAGGCGTGGCAAATATAATTCAAGGGCACACGGTGTGCGAGTAGCTTCCTGTAATGCTGGCTGCGACATTTGTCTCAGCATCAGTTTGTATAATTGTTGTTGTAGTCGACTCGTGGCTACATAGTCGAATGAAAATTGTTTTGGCTCAGCTAAAAGAGTTCGGTCCAATTTTCAAGGTCTTCTTTGATGATAAAGTGACTACTTCTCACGATAGATGTAGATGAATGCTATGTTGAAACGTTTGCGAAGAATCTTAGAGAACAATAGTGACCGTTTTCTCGATTGGTAAATGTTCTCACCGAATGTAATAAATTCGAATTTGACCCAAAGATTGAATCGAGCTTTTTAAAGCTCCTGACCTCAGTTAGCTGCTCAGAATCTTAGATTGATAACGTCAGAAGCGAGAAGACGCATGCCCGAAATTCTTGCGTATTATTTTCAAATGAAAAAATATTTGTATGAAAGAGTCTTTTTCAGACCGCTCGTGTGTACTTGTAAAATCTTTCGAAAACTATCCTTCTTCTTTGACGATCAATAAATAGCCTGAAAATTAATGTGACATGTAACCTTCCTCTTTAACCTACTTTTCCTCACGATTTTGCCAATTTTGAAGCTATTTATTGTCAAGGAAACGGATAATTTTGAGAGCACTTTACAAGAATGCTCGAGCGATTTGAAGTGTTCTTCCGTACAAATATCTTTTTATTCGAAAACGGCATGCGCAAAAATTTTTGACATGCGTTTTTTCGCCTCTGACGTCGTTAACTCAGGATTCCGCAGCAATGGGACCAGGAATCTTAAGGGATCCATATAAAGACTCAGATAGCACGAGATGTCTTTGGATTATTCTGGATGTGCTTCAGACATCCTGAAACACTTTTCTCGGGATATGTCGGAGGTATCTGAGATAATTCTGGGACATCTCGTGCTATTTGAGAATAATTTTGCCAGTCGGGACGCTTCTCTTTCGTTACATCACGAAATTTTAATTTTCGAGGTGGTAACGGGGACCTGGTTGGTGGACGGGAATCCCCAAATCATTTTGTTCGATGTTGGAAGTGCCGCCTGGAAGATGGACGAGTATAAGCAGGAGTTATGGGATTCTTGTCACTTTGGTATACCTCATCTCGATATCGAAGCTAATGACGCCGTTATATTTGGATATTTAGTTTGCCAATTCATCTCCGAGTTTAGGTATAAAAAATCAAGTTGTTATTCACGATTGCTTGTGTGTATGTGTGTGTTTGGGCTAGTCAAAAGGTTTAGTTCGATTGGCAGTAGGATTGTAGACGACGGTGGCGATCACTTGCTTGTTGAGCAATTCGTTTCACGCAATAAAGCCAAATTTGACTGCAAAATCGAGCCGAACCTTCTGACTAACCCAATAACGGGCGTATTCCTCGAGTTTGTTCTTCGATACTGAAATAACACAGGAAGGCGGCCGAAGGATACTCGTCCACCGCACCGAGGGTGGTTGTGCATTGTCACGAATGGCAAGCGGGTATCGGGCTGATCGCTCTGAGAACAAAAAATGTGGACGTGGCTACGGTGTTCACCACTCACGCCACTCTTTTGGGTAGATATCTCTGCGCGGGGAAGACTGACTTTTACAATAATCTGGATAAGGTAGATTGCAAGCGACTAGTATACGATACGGACAGATCTGTATGTTGTCTAATAATTCCTTTTGCAGTTTAGTGTCGATGAAGAAGCAGGCAAGCGACAGATATATCACAGATACTGTATGGAACGCGCGGCGACGCACTTGGCACATGTGTTCACGACCGTCTCCGACATTACCGGTTTTGAGGCCGAGTATTTGCTCAAACGCAAACCGGACATTATCACGCCGAACGGGTTGAACGTGAAGAAGTTCGCGGCGTTGCATGAATTTCAGAATTTACACGCTATCAGCAAGGAGAAGATACACGAGTTCGTGCGTGGCCACTTTTATGGGTTCGTATCGGAAAAGCGCGTCCTTTTCTCTCCGTAGTCGCGCTGTACATGATGCAACTTGTTCGCCGAATTTCACATTGCGTGTGCTTGCAGACACTACGACTTCGATCTGGACAAAACCCTGTACTTTTTCATCGCTGGTCGATACGAATTCGGGAACAAGGGTGCCGATATCTTCATAGAAGCCTTGGCCAGATTGAACCACTATCTGAAATCGTCGAGGCCCGACTTGACCGTGGTCGCTTTTCTCATTTTCCCCGCAAAAACCAATAACTTTAACGTCGAATCTCTCCGTGGTCACGCCGTAAGTTACTGCGATATAACGTAATAAAGAGAAAAATAGCAACAAGCGTTTAAATATCCTTTCAGTCGACAAGATCGTTCGTTGATGTCTTTCTTTAAATTACCGTTCTCAGGTAACGAAATCCTTACGAGATACCATTAACGATATACAACAGAAAATAGGAAAACGGATGTATGAATTATGCCTTTCTGGTCGTATGCCGGAAGCCGAAGACTTGTTACAGAAAGAGGATACTATTAAAATCAAACGGTCCGCCAATGTAACCAACGTAGCATTCTCGTAATTCCAATATTGATTTACGCTTAATTATCCATTTTCTCTTGCAGATGTCTTTACGCACTCCAGAGGAATGGATTACCACCTATTACGACGCACAACGTTGTTGATGACTATCACGATCCGGTATTGAACGCCATTAGGAGATGCAATCTTTTCAACACCGTCCACGATCGCGTTAAGGTGCGTATACAACTGCATTTCTACATGCAATGTAAAAAATTCTGTCTCTACTTACATACTTATATATTATATATTAAAATGTTTTTATATATTTTATATATAATGTAATATTTTAATGTAATACGTATAGCAGATTGCAAATTTGGAAACGAGTCCGATAATAATAAAAGAAAATTATTTTTTTGTTGAGGTTTATATTCAAAAATAAATTTTCCTCTATTAAATATACGGATACGTAGTGAGATACTTGTTGAGCAAAAAATGTGTTGCGATCTTTTTGCCATTGACTATTGGAGAAATTATCGGCATAACATTACGTATCGTTTGCAGATGGTGTTCCATCCGGAGTTTCTTTCGTCAACGAATCCGTTATTCGGTCTCGACTACGAAGAGTTTGTCAGAGGATGTCACTTGGGTGTGTTCCCCTCGTACTACGAGCCATGGGGATACACGCCGGCCGAGTGCACGGTCATGGGGATTCCCAGTATCACGACGAATTTGTCGGGTTTCGGGTGTTTCATGCAGGAGCACATAGCGGACCCGATGAGCTACGGCATCTACATCGTCGACAGGCGTTTCATCAGCCTGGAGAATAGCGTGCAGCAGCTCGCGCAATATATGTTCGATTTCGCGCGGCTCAGTCGCCGGCAGCGCATCATCCAGAGGAACCGCACGGAACGTCTGAGCGATCTTCTCGACTGGCGAAATCTTGGCATCGTAAGGCAATTACATCTCTCGTCGCTCTGCCTTCGATCACAAAGCTGTCTCACGTCATTCTTTGCTTTTTCCGTTCTCTCTGGTCTTCTCCTCGCATTATTCTCTGTTTTCTTTTGTCGTCAGTATTATCGCCAAGCGAGAATCAAAGCGCTGACCACTGTGTACCCGGAACTCCAGTCAGAGTACGCGGAGGGTGGTGTCGGCCGATTCACTTATCCGCGACCGATCAGCGAGCCGCCGTCCCCATTGTCTTCGCGGCACACGACACCGGCGGCGTCCGTGCACGGATCCGACGATGAGGATGAGGTCGACGACGAGAAAGAGGTGAGCGCGATTCATCCGGCGCAACGCAATATCTTGGGATCGATACGTATGAGGTAACATGAGGTTTTACGTGCTCACGTGTGCGTTTGTGTCGTAGCTAGCGGAACTACGGAATCCAAGTGGAAACTGAGACAATGGAAGTCGAGAGGGAGAGCGATAAGCAATTATGTGCGATGAAATGTAAACCGATCGATCGAGGAAGGATCGCGTAACGTAGTGCCAAAATGTTAGTAGAGACGTCTTCACGGAGCGGAGTACACGTGTTCAAATTTCGGATAAAAGTTTTGAAGATAGTTTCGTCGTTTGTCTGCCACACTGGCTCGTGTGCAAAGACACAGAAGATTCAGCGAAGTCAAAGAGAAACGCAGCAATACTCGCAACACGGCTTATGATCGTACTGATCATTTTTTAGAATGCAATAATACTATTTATTACATTAGCTTTATTCGTTAACGGCATAACTCGCTTAGTTCGTCTCTTATCCAAATTTCCGATCGTGTGTGCGATATCGAGTTACGTTCAGACGATATATATTATTATTATTATTATTATATAACGCGACCAGAGAAGTTCGAATGCGCAAAAGGAAGAAAGAGACAATATTCGCCCGTACATGCATTACACGTCCTACGCACATCGCGCTTCACACTTATATGACAATATAGTCGGTGAATTTGTATACATATATTATTATACGGTATGAGTGGAATATGTTCGTGTATAGAAACAATGATATTTTTATTAGAATTGGCACTTGAATAAAAATTTCTATCATTCTTCCCCTCTCGAGTTACTTCGCCCTTGCAGTTTTACTCGCGTCCTTTTCCTTCCCCTCGAGCTCCCGTCGTTCTCGCGGAGGAGACAGTGTTGTGATAATGGTATTTAGTATATAGTTATGTTGGAAAAAAAAATGCGCAGTAATTATGAAAAAGAGGTAACGGAAATCTCATGATGAGTGAAAAGACGATTCAACGGTAATCGAATGTGTTTACTTTGCGTGAGAATTATCAACATAATATACAAAAAAAAGAAGAAACGAAATGACTAAGTTACATCTTTCACGACACGATTGTAGCGTTTTGACGCTCTTCAATGCGCTTCTCTCTTTCTCTTTCACCAAAAATTATCTACTACATACGTAAACTATAAATAAATATTTACATATTACAAAACGAGTAACACATTACATAATCGATAACAATAATTATAGCTTACTACACAACAAATACAACAATATACAAAGTTGTCGCGACTTTTGGACAACAGCTCGAAACTGTGTTTAACGCGCGTTTAATAATTAACTGACGACAAGAGTGATAATTTGGAATGATCCTTTCTCTTTCTTCTTCTGTATCGCGTTGAGTTAAGAGTTAATTGTAGTTATTAATATGAGATTCCGCATTATACTCGCGTCCATTACGTCATCCACCTTCACATCTTATCTCTCTACGCTAATGATTCGTGTTAAAAAATGTCGACGCTAAATATAAAATATTCTAGTTTCTAGCACATTATTCATCATACAATATGTCAGTTAGGAATTATAATAAATGACGCTGTCTCTAGAACTCGCGTCTCCTCATGTCGCTCTCTGTAATAGAGCGAGCGAAAAGAAAATGAAAACTCGAGTGTGTACATCTTCATAGATTGAGAAAAATATCGCTGATGTTCCGCTCATAAATATCTACGAATACGTTGTCTCCAAAAATTAAAAATACTCCCGCAAGCGATAAATTAGTGTGCAAGCACGATAAGTACTATTATACGGCATCACTTTAACCTAAAAATGGCACTCGTTATACATTACAAATATAAGAATTTTTACAGGGAACACTAAAAGAACGGCGAGAGACTATCGTTAGAATATCGTTAAGTCATACGAAATGCGCGAATTAAAAACAGAAAGTACACTACAATCATTTAGCGTGTAATACGTATCTCTAATACTTTGATTTTCCGAATACAATTCCTTTCTGCAAATGTTGCTGGGGCATCGTTCGTTCGCACATACGATTGAGCAGAATCGTTTCGAGCCGAAATCGAAAGTTTCACGAAACCGCGGAAATGTTTTCCCTCCCTTCGCGTTTTCGTGTGAACGCGGCTCAATTCCCGCAAAGAAACACGTCGTGAGGTGATACGATTTTATGGCTCGCGTAAAAGTATCGCGGCTGCAACTTTCGTTCAATGTAGTCAATCGTTAAAAAGAATAAAATCGTTCAAGACACACCATATTAAAATTATAGTCACAAATTGTAATTCACACACACACACACAGTCGTGGTTAAATCTATAATAGTCCTATAAGCGAAACAAATCCCAAAATTCCATCCCAAAATCATCATCAAGTTTCGTTAAAATACATTTCACCGATTCCAAAATATAAAATCGCTTATTGGCAACCCTATCAGGCCTACGAAAAGCCCGTTTGTTCGTATTTATTGCAACGGCTACTATCTCTACATGCTTTTACTTTTATACTGGCAAGTTTATGCTGCGTAGTTTTATTACGATTTCTCGAAAGCTTTTAATTGCGACGAAAGAATAATACTTCATTTTAGACCGTTGGTACAGGACAACCTTTGGTTAAATAAACGAGAAGGCTAATATTATTACAATACCGTTCAGTGTATCGATAAATATATATATATATATATGTATATGTATTTATACTTGAAAACGCTACTCTACTAGTCTTTAGTTAATTGGCATTTCATGGCGTATGACCTCAAGATACGATGGATGAGTTCGTGACGACCGCTATTACCATGCATACGATCGATTAAACCGCGAAAAACACAATCCATGGTACTCGATTAGTTCGTGCGACCCACTTCACAGTTCGTCGGAGCGAACAGCGGATCGTACGGAGGCCGATCCCGATGACCACATTACGGTGCCAGTCGAGGATAGCTCTCTCTCTTTCTTCCTCTCTCTCTCTCTCTCTCTCTCTCTCTCTCTCTCTCTCTCTCTCTCTCTCTCTCTCTTTCTGTGTGTCTCTCTGTACTTCAGGTGCGCGCGTGTCTTCTTTATTAACCCTTCGGCCGTTTCCCGTCGACACGATTCGCCATCGTAAAATTAGTGCGCGCGTTATCTCGCGCCGAATGTGTACGCGGGAATTCGATATCGGCTAATGCACTTTCGATCGCGCCCCGTTCGGGAGGTCGCGCGCCTCGGGATCGTTACTTGCCGAGCAGAGTCGAGCCCAGCACGGAAGAGGCAGAGAGAGAGAGAGAGAGAGAGAGG